AAAAAATCAGAAGGAATAATCAGAAAAAAGGAAGTTACCAAGTATAGCCTACATCTGTGTACTCTTTTGGTACAGAACATTCTAATGGCTAAATTTGTCTCTTCTCCCTGTTCATTAACATGACATTTTGTTCAGTCAGTCAGTATAGTCTCATGTATATTAATTTTATCCTTTGTGTTGTGATCCAATTCTTCTTTGTTTTATGGCTCACATGGTTTTAGTTTTGGCTGTCAGTTTTAGGTTTACCAGAAATGTATACAGCTAAACCTCATAGCACTAAAACTTTACACAACTTAACCTTGATTCTTTTGGCCTGTTAGAGAAAAATTCAAGACAGAAAACACAATAAAAATAATAGGAATTTTATTAAAGAGAATATGAGATGCTTTGCAGAAAGCATCAGGCTGGAACAAGGCTCCAGAGCACCAAACCCTTTGTTGGGGATTTTACGAGTCAGGAATAAGTGTGGACTGCCCTTTCTTTGGAGTGAACTCTGATGGACAACTTGACAGTTGTAGCAAATGCACATCTGTGCATGCCTCAATTTGTTGGAACCTTGCTCTCAGACTTTAGCGATTGATTAGTCTCCAATTGAGTTCCTGGGCACTGGAGGTCTCTGTAGGGGCATTGCTCACTTTCTGTGCATGTGACTTACTGGATGCACCTCCCTGATGACCAGGACATGGTATCACCCAGTTTGACATAAGGAACTGGATCAGCACTGTGATCAGCACGTTGATGAAACTCCAGGGTAGATCATCTTGGGGTCATACATCGATAGGCAAGGAGCATCCATGGGTCTGTCAAGAGGCTTTGGCACGGTTGCCTTAGCAACTTGGGACCATAAAAAGTCTGCCTGCCTGAAGGAGCTCCTTCACTTGACTGTTGTGACATATTCCTGTCGCTATGAGAAATACTCCCAAGTCGCACTGCCGAGCGCTCCAGACTCTTCTTTATTTCCCTCCTTTCATCTGGATGTACCGACACCCTTTTGTAACACGTAAATTGCTGATTCTAATTAGTCCTTCCCCTTCAAAGGGCCTCTCCTGTTTAGTGCAAGGCTTCTAATTTGACTTTATTATTTTCATGTCAGAAACATGGACCTTTGTAAGTAATGAGGGATTTTGATCCAATTTGAACCATATACATTCTAGTCCACACATGATCAGGGATTTATTTTTTTTATTGCCTATAATTAAAGCCACTTTGAGAAAGCAGTTCAAGGACTTCTGACTTAACGTTCGAGGAATTAAGATTAATCTGTTTTCTCCTTGTTCTTTAAAATGGAGTGCATCATGCATTTTTATATATAATGAAAAAGGTTCTATTGCTATGAAAACTGACAGCCTGCCAGTTTTGCCTGCATTTGTCTTTGAGATTGCCTAAGGACAATTGATTTTAAAAATTGTATTCTTTATAAAATTATAATGAGGAAGTAGTTCATTGTCTTTTTCTTAAATCTTTTCCTGTATTCTAGGAATAGCATCAATGTGACAACTTGAGAAATCCTTGAAATAAGACAAATTTATTTCCTTGCTTCTCTAGTTAATGACTCTTCTAACTACCTCAATATTTAATGCCGGAGGCATGGTCTCTTAGCCGTCAGCATCTGAGACTGAGGTGGGATTATATTCTGTTCAAGTTTCTATACTGAGATGCTCCTATACCTATACTGTTTAGCAACTATATTGGTTCTGGATTCCACTTTATCTATAATCTGTTGGATTAATAACTGTGAGGGCTTTGAGTATAAAATAAACAATACACTGATTTCATCTAGTGACAATTCCAGAGGGAACTAGATTAGAAAAGGAAGGACTATCAGATCGTATTCCCTAAATGACTTTATGTATTAGCAGTAGCCCTAACATATGTATTATGTGTAGACATAGCTAAATTCTAAATGATTAGTAATATCACTAATAAATCATAACCAATGCATTTTTTCATACTGCATACTGCCTTTGAAAACTGAAATGCTTTCTTAATTATTAACTTAAACCCTTGGTTTAGCAAAATCATTATGTGGCTAATATTGTTTACCTTTACTATCAGTTTGTTCTCTGAGTCACAAAAATTCTTAGTTAACCGAATAAAAATAATTGCTAACAGGAAAAAGTTCCATTCAGTCATTTAAATTTCTGTACAATATTGTTGAATACTTTCTTTGATAGCACAGTCTTTGTCAAAGAGAAAACAAAAACCAAAAAAACCATGGATTATCCCAGTCACTGGCTTTTTACCATCAACATCTTACTGAACACCTGTCATGAGCCAGGTTCTGAATCCCTTCAACTCATGCCCCAGCCAGGCTGAACAAGCAAATCACTTAATGTTTTCATTCCTAGAAAAGGAAAGGTCTCCTTCATTTTACAACATTCCCTAGAAATAACATATAAAAGTTTTATATGTATCTTTTCTATTTCTATAGAAATTTCACAAAAGAATCCCTTTTAAACAACAAATACATGTTAATATGTTTTAGAAATTGTGGAATGTCAGCTACTATAATTTACTTATTTTAAAGCAGTTGTTTTCTGAGTTTTGATATTCCACTCTAAGTGTTCTCTTTATTTGTTTTTACTTCCTACAGATATAAATATGGCTGGGTGCTGGTGGCTCACACCTTCTTTCCTAGCTACTCAGGAGGTTGATATCTGAGAATCACAATTTGAACCAGTCCAGACAGGAAAATCTATAAAACACCTTTCTCCAGTTAACCACCACAAAGCTGGAAATAGAGCCATGGCTCAAGTGGTAGAATACACTAGCCTTGAGCATAACAGCTCCAGGACAGTGTCCAGCCCCTGAATTCAAGCCCCAGGTGGGCACACCCACACCCACCTCCCACATACTTTGTGTGTCTTATTAATGTATCTTCACATACATTAGTTTGAGTTCCTTTGTAATAAGTAATGTGTGCCTGTCATGAGAATTTCATTTCTCTGTTTACAACTACAATGAGCAGAGTCTGGGCTTTTTCTGTGATTAATTGGAGTTAAGAGCCTCATAGACTTTCTTACTAGGGCTTCAAAATGCAATCCTCAGATCTCAGCATCCTGATTAGCTAGAATTACAGGTGTGAGCCATTGGTGCCTGGGGCCTGAACTCTGGACCTGGGCGCTGTCCCTCAGCTCTTCACCTCAAGGCTAGCCTTCTACCACTTGAGCCACAGCACCACTTCCCGCTTTTTCTGCTTATGTGGTGCTGAGGAATGGAACCCAGGGCCGCCTCATGAATACAAGGCAAGGGCTCTACCACTGAGCTACCTTCCCAGCCCTTGAAACCTTTTTGTAACAGAATTAAGTAGCTATTTTCCCTTTCTTTTCTTCTTTCATCCCTATTTAAAATGTAAGAATGTTTCTGTATTTTTACTTCTTAAGAATAGGTGTCTGTATCTGCTTCTTAATCTGCTGTTTACTAACTCTTCAGTCTCTAGTACCTTGAGTATAGTTTGTGTATTTTCATATTTTTCTTTCAGATTTCCACCTCTATTTTATGGTTCTTTTCACTGTTCAGTCTTCTTGGCTTCTCTGTAGCACTCTGCTATTGACAGCACATTCTTAGAAATTCTCATAGTTATTTGACCTTTCTGGCTTTCCTTTGTCCATTTGGTGGCTCATTGACTTCACCTTCCTTCTTTGTCCTTTCTTCCTTCTGTCCTTTCATTGAAGCAAATCTGTAGTTAGTCTCCTCTTTTACCTTCAGCAACTGTTTCTACATGGGAGCTTCCAGATGTCCTTAAAGTACTTTGCTGGTCATTCCTGCACCACTGTTGCATACTTTTTGGGCATGTTGACTTCACTTCGATGGTATTTCTCAAAGACTTTGTTTAAAATTTGCTATGCAGTCAAATGCTCTACCACTGAGCTATACCCCCGCACCAAAATTTGCTATGTTAATGTTAAAGGGCCTTGCTTTCTGGACTTGTCCTTTAACTTACCCTAATGGCTAAATGACAGCAGCCCCCTGTGAGCTATTTTCATTGTCTGTTATGTCCTTAACTTTATTCTTTCAGGCTTCATTTTCTTTGTAAGAAGTTCAGAAGTCTGCATCTCACAAAGGTTTGGACATGACATCAGTCTTTATTGATATCCTACCCTTTGAACTCCTGCCTCCCATTGATCTGTCTATCTGGCACCCATCATCTTCTTGTTTTCCTGAATTTTATTATCTCAAATGTAGCCTGTAATCTTATTGCTGTCTGTACTTCAATTACCTAAGACACTATTGACACTGAATAATGTTAGCTCTGGATGATGGCATATTCTTTACATTTCTTTATCTTCTTTTATGTCTAATAGTGAGATTGCTTTACAAACAATTAATTGGCCTTATCACCAAACAAACATTTATTTTTCATGAAAGAAATGAAGAGTTCTTAAACTGAACTTAATGATAGATTTTTATCAGCTGGATTATATCTTGCTTTATACTATTTAAAGCTCATTACAAAAGAGTGGAACAATTGCTTGGGAAGTAATTTTCCCTCATATTTTTTTTTAGTTTTCAGAGAATTGTTTAAGAACGTGGAATAAAAAAAATCACAAAAAGAAAGACCTAAGAGGCTTTTAAGGGTTTTGTACTGAGTTGTAGTTCAAGGATGGATGGAGATAGATAGAAAGAATGAGAAAGATAACAAGAGAGAGTAAATGTGAAAATACAAACCTTTAAGTCAACACCACTTGGTAAGTGATGTTAAGTTGGAATAATGCAATCCAGATGTAAAAGTAGTTATGAATATAAGTGGCTAAAATTTATGTCAAGCACCCTTCACCTGCTATGAAAGTTTCACCTAATTTTTTGTGATGAATTGTTTTCATAATAAATTTCTCAGAAGCACAGAAATAAACACACACAGCAAAGTAGGTCTTGTTAATATATAAGATTTTTTAAATGAAGGTATAGAAGGTAACTGCTTTAAATTTAGCTCTGTGTATATTGAGAATCTGGACTACAAGGTTATGAACCCAAACACTAATTTAATTTTTTTTCCCTAGGAAATTTGAAGTATTGCCTTGTGATTCTTAATCAGCCTCTGGACAAATGTTTTCGTCACCTTTGGAAAAAAGGTAAACAGGTAGCCATTATGTTTCTTTGCTATTTTACAGTTGGGAGTAAATAATATAAATGTTAAGTACCCTGGAAACTAACTGAAACAGCAAAAATAATGGGATCAAAATGAGATGATCCAGTTATTGAATTACCAGAATAATTCACTATGGCTTTTCTGTTAATCTGGGTCTATATGTGATTTCCAAGGATTAAATGCAGTATTTCAGAACTACTGCATAGGTATTAATTCTGAATTACCTACAAGAATTTGTTCTGCTATAAATATTTTGACACCAGTGTCAGTATAAAGCATCTACATGCACGCTTGTCTTACCTTCCAATAGTAGACTACATGTAAAGCAATCAGACATGAAATTAGAAAAACAAGGTATTTCCTTATTTTGTTCTTGTAATGTTTGTGCTGAAAATATGGTTAAAAATAATATAATTTCATGGAATTAATACTTCTGGGATGTTTCATGTAAGAATGCAATGTTCCATGTAAGAAACAGACCTTGTTAAATATTTAAATATTTTTGACTTTTATAGGATTAACTCTAGGCTAAAAATATTACTGTCATTTGGTGTTTTGAAACCCAGTATTTCTGAGTGGACTAACTGTGGTTCACATCTGAACTCCTAGCTAGTCAGATGCTGAGGTCTAGAAGAACATCCCCTTTAAGGTTATACCAAGCAGAAAAATCCATGAGACTCTGCCTCCAAAGTAATGAGTGGAAAGAAGAAAATGGGTAAATGCAGTTATACTACTCAAGTTACATATGTGAAAATGGACTAGGAAATTTGAGAAATAGTGGGGATTAGATCAATTCTGTTTAAATCTAGGGATTATAAAATGCAACATAGATAAGATGATAGAGATAAAAGGAAGTGTAGCTAGTGTAGAACTTCACTGTAAATGTCAGAGATCATTGGAATTTGAGAATGGATATGGCTCTCAAAATTGTTTCTGTGTGTTCGTCTGTATGTGAGTTAGATCTTTCCATTCAGTAAACAGTTTTCTTGATAGTTTGTTATAAAGGAAAATCATAGAGGATCCATGCTTGAAGGGCTCTGCTTGTTTCTGCCTATAAGGTTATCATACTACTTTAGACTTAATACTAGTAGTCTGAGAGCTACATAAAATTAAAGATAGATCGGTGCAACAAGGTTCATGTAGATCTGCCATGTATCATGTTTCTGGGAGTGTGGTCTCTTAAATCAACACAGGGTGAGCTCACAGCCTTCTCCTGTCTTTTCCATATATTCCCCAGGACAGTGCTCAGCATGCTAACTAGAATGTAAACAGATGACCAGATTCTATGAAATAAGGTGTTTATCTAGAGTGAGTCAGTTTTCCCTTGAATACAAAGTTATTTTCCTTAGGCTGGTTAAATTCTTTGTGAGCATTTTTTTGCCCTTGGTAGCCATCCCTGAGATCATACCAGCTTATAGGCAGCATACCCTGATTCATTTCTAGGAAGATGTCTGACATGCCAGGTACTGGTGGCTCAAGTTTATAATCCTAGGAACTTAAGTGACTGATCTGAAGAACATAGTTCAAATCCAGCCTATACAAAAACATTTTCTGAGATTCTTGCCTTCAGTTAACCACCAAAAGGCCAGAGTGGATCTGTAGCTCAAGTAGTGAAGCATGAGGACAAAGTCTGGGCCCTGAGTTCAGGCCCCAGAGTGCCTCCTCCCCCACTACCTCCACCACCAGTAGAGGAAGGAAGTTTGCTTTTAAGTCCAGTGTGCATTCTTCACATGGTTTGAATTTGCTGGTGATGTTTGGAACAGACTGAATGGGGTGACATGGGGTGCTATAGCGTGAGACACTTGTTAAAGCTAGCAGGAGAGTTGCTGAGAGGAAAGATTCTATTTTTGAACATAGTCAATAGAACTGCACAATGGGAACTCTTTGGTAGAGATAGAGGTCAAACAGTGACACCTCGCTGTCTAAGTGTTTTTCATGAATGTGGCTTTTAAGGATTCATTGCCTCTGACTGCATGGATAGGTAGAATATCACATACATTTTCCATTTAAATATATCTAGACAAAGAGCTGCCACATCACCTCAGCTGGAAAAATGTCAGGCTGCAGGATAGACAAGCTGATCTTCAAGGCATCTGTTGGAATAATGATTAGCCTAGTTATTAGCTTAACAATTCTGTAACATGGTAGTTAGACTTATCACAGTTTTATTGAGCCACTGAGTTAACACACTTGTGTCCTTTTCTGTCTTTTGTGCTTTGCACAACTTATACTTTGAGCACATTTAAAAGAACCATAGCTTTGATGAGCAATTTGCATACTTGGTTCAAGTCCACTGAACAAAATCATTATGTACAAGCTGTAGTTTCTGTAAATAAGGCTGGTGGAAAAGATTTGTTTCAGTCACACAGAAATATGTGTGTCCGGGAGTTGTAGTCTACAAACAGATTATTTAAATGACTATGATCTTTAATATATTGATAGCATAGAATGAAATACTTATTGTCCCTAAAAGATTGGAGACATATTGTAGCGTTCCCTTCTCCAAGATGAGGGCCTGTTTCTTTAGAATACTTAACCATTCTGGATATCATGATATCAATATTAAAAGATTTAAGAAGTCTGATGTTACCTTTTTCCTATGGATGTACTTAAATGAAATGGCATCCCTTTGTCTTTTTGGTCACATTTACTAATATCTCTTCCTTTAAATTTTCTTGTTTCTTGTCAATAACTATGATCATAATAGCATTTATTTTCAATAATTACTCCATTGTAATTATCTCTTACATATGAACTTATTCATTCAGGATTATTTAAGTGTCCTTTATGAAAGCTGTACAACAGACTTTTATTACTTACATTCTAGAGAAGAGTAGATCTGACACACTGAGAATTTTAATAACTTATTCACATTCATGCATGCAGTAAATGGGTGAACTAGGGATTTAAGCTCAATGCAGTTGGGCCAAAACTGTGTGCTTGAGTAGAATGTGCCATATATGTGCTTACTAAAGGGGTGGGTAGAGGGCTTGAACTCAGGGCCTGTATGCTGTCCTTGAGATTCTTTGTTCAAGGCTAGTACTCTGTCACTTGAACCACAGTTCCCCTTCCTTCCTTCCTTCCTTCCTTCCTTCTGAGATAAATAGAGTCTCATAAGCTTTCCTTCCCAGGCTGGTTTTTAAAATTTATTTTTTATTTTTTTATTATGAAAATACCATACAGAGGAGTTACAATTACATGGACAAGATAATGAGTACATTTCTTATCAAGCATTGTTGCCTCCTTCTTTGTTTCCCCTTCCTATCCCTTCCCAAATCCCGCCGGCCCACCTTTCCTCCCCCCGCTAAAGTTGTAAAGTTCATTTTTCTACATAACAACTTGTACATCTCATTGTTGCAATGAGTCCACCTGTATCCCTATTTAAACAATTTGGTTTTTCCCTTCCCCTCCACAAATTATACCAACGTCAAATACAGTGAAAGCATGGGTTATATTGTGGGGGAGGGACATACAAAGCAACAAAGAAATCATCTTATAAATATGTTAGAAACTATAGCAAAAAAGAAAAAAATATTTGAGACCTTATCTTGGGGTTCATTTCACCTAACATCAACATATCTGACCTTTTCTGTTTGTCTCAGACACCCAGGCTGGTTTTGAACTGAGATCCTCAGATCTCTGCCAGGGTTACAGATGTGAGCCACTAGCACCCCTGCTTTGTGTGTTGACTTTTCTTGTGAAAGAAGAAAATGTAGGTATTTGTCCCTCTGTGGGCCATGTGGCTCTGTGGTAACTTTTCAGCCATACTGTTATACAAAAGCAGCCATGGAAAGCACACTAAATAACTGACAGGGTTGTGTTCCAAAAATAATAATATAAGAGCAGCATTGAACCTGGACTATAGAACATAGCTTGTTGACCTTTTGTAATCTATTTTTACTACTCAAAGTACTTCTACTTTAGCTGAGAATCTCTTGGAAGACTGTTCTACCCACAATATTACAATATTATAACTCTCTGGCTATTACATTTCTTTTTGTCTTCCTCTTGTTATTTGATACCTACGCTATCTGCTGATTTCTTTGATCAGTTCATTCACGTATTTATCCTGTGTTGATTTTCATAGTACATTGGTTACTACTTTCTTTTTAAAAAATATAGTTTTATTGTTACTATTAAGATGTTATACACAAGGGTTACCATTTCATAAGTTAGGTAATAAGTACAATTCTTTTGGGATAATATCACCCTTTCCTCCACTTTTCCTCATTTCCCCCCTCCCATCCCTGCTGATAAGTTTCACATTTATTTTCCCACAATGTATACTGAATATATTTTTTTGTATTTGTTCTCTCTTCCCTCCTCCATTTCTGCCTCCCACAAAAGAAAGACAAGCAAACACCACCGCCAATAACAACAAAACAACAAAAAAGCATGTTTGCATTTCCTGGAATTTATTTGCTTAAATAGTATTTTAAATGTTTAGAGGAGTTAGGCCTTTGAGTTCCTTCCCTAAGACTATCCTCCTTTAGTGTGATGGTGTGAATGCCTAGAGTCTTGTATAAATTATAATGTCTAGTTGTATTTTAGGTCTAGCTTCCACATATGTGAGAAAAAATATGTGCCATTTGTTTCTTCATTGCTACTACTGTTAATTTAAGTAATAGCATTTATTTTATGATAATTCCTTTCTGCATCTTCCCTATATTTTCTAGCAGCTGAATTACATATTTACTTTGCTTTTCTCCTCTCACTCATATAAAGAGTTACCAAGTCTGCTAGTGGTCCTGGGGTTAGGACAATTGATGGTGTGTTATTCATTAGCAATCAGATCTTCACCAATGTATCATAATCAGTGTCTTCACTGTACATTTTGCTTGGCAGCTGTGATTGGAATAAAGGTTCATTGTCTGTTTGAGAGAAGGAAATATTTATTACTTTGCAGACTGTGTGTGTGTGTGTGTGTGTGTATGTGTGTGTGTGTGTACCTTGGCTTTAAAGCCTTTCAAAGGTTAAAGACTT